TTCTTCCAGCACGCTGACGTTTGTCCACTTGTTTTCCCAAGAGATTTGCAGGATTTTCCAGAGGCAGCGCTGATGGAATCGTTCCAGGAGTTGCATGTGACGTCTGTAGACAGTCCACGTTTCACAGGCTTATAGCAGGGTTGAGAGGACAATGGCTTTATAAACAAGCACCTTGGTCTCCCTACGGATGTCCCAGTCCGCAAACACTCCCAGCTTCATTTGGAAGAATGCTGCACTCACAGAGCTCAGGTGGTGTTGTATTTCAGTGTCAATGTTGACTTTGGTGGAGAGGTGGCTGCCAAGGGAGCGGAAAGGGTCCACATTTTCTAATGTTACCCCATTAAGCTGTGTTTCTGGCATTGCAGAGGGACGCTCTGAGTTCCCTTCAGGGTTGAGAAGAGCGGCGTATAAATACAGTAAATAATAATAATAATAAAAATAATAATAATAATAATTGGCTGGTGACTGCTGGAAGAGCACTTTAGTTTTCTCGATGTTCAATGAAAGGCCAAGCTTCTTGTATGCTTCTGCGAAGGTGTTTAGAGTGGCTTGCAGGTCTTCTTCTGAATGCGCACAGATGACGTTGTCATCAGCATACTGGAGTTCTATAACAGATGTTGTTGTAACCTTGGTTTTGGCTTTCAGTCTGCTGAGGTTAAACAGCTTGCCATCTGTCCGATAGATGATTTTCACTCCGGTGGGAAGCTTCCCGTCAACAAGATGAAGTATCATAGCAATGAAGATGGGGCAATAATGAAGTATCATAGCAATGAAGATGGGGCAATACATCCCTGTTTGACACCTGATTCCACCTTAAATGCTTCCATTCTGCACGGTAGAAAAAAGGGCAGGAGCCCTTGCGACATGCATTTGGCGCATTTGGGTGGAACGAGTGCTTTGCCATGTTTTGCAACCGATGTCCTGGAGGGGCCTGAAAAAATGGATTGTCTTGTCTGGAAACCTGCTTTTCTTGTCAATGACAACGCCTGTTCCCTTTTTGCTGCAGAGATGGGCCTCCGATAAGAAGGTCCAGCGAGGAGGCCAGGGCGCATCTATACTGTAGATTTAAACCGGTTTGGACACCACTTGAGCTGCCGTGGTTCAGTGATATAGCATCCTGGGAGCTGTAGTTTGGTGTGGGCCCCAAAAAGCTGTTTATTATGCTTATGATGTTTATTTATGCGTCAAGAGGAATACAGTGTCCAGATCAGGTGTGAGCAAACTTGGGCCCTCCGGGTGTTTTGGACTTCAACTCCCACCATTCCTAACAGCCCGGCTGTTAGGAATGGTGGGAGTTGAAGTCCAAAACACCCAGAAGGCCCAAGTTTGCTTAGACCTGCTTTTGAGCACTGTCCACACCTTTGATCTGCCTTGCGCTGGCATTTCCGCCTTTCTGGTGCATTGATGCCTCCTGGAAGACGCACTGTCCAAAGGTGGCCTTTATTGCTGGGCGCGGGAGGAAGACACGGCACAACCTTTGCGCGCCCCGTGTCCAAACGCCAGCCGTCCTTTGAACTCGTGCATTTGCCCTGCCCTTTTAACTCAGTCCTTTTGCCTTCAGCACTTTTGAAGAATACGAGGGTTGACCATCTGAACATTAGGAAGAACTTCCTGACTGTGAGAGCCGTTCAGCAGTGGAACTCTCTGCCCCGGAGTGTGGTGGAGGCTCCTTCTTTAGAAGCTTTTAAACAGAGGCTGGATGGCCATCTGTCAGGGGTGATTTGAATGCAATATTCCTGCTTCTTGGCAGGGGGTTGGACTGGATGGCCCAGGAGGTCTCTTCCAACTCTTTGATTCTATGATTCTATGATTGTCTTGTGACACCAGACTTTTTTGGACTGCAGGACTGGTTTCTAGTGACCTCAACCACCATTGAAAGCAAGCCCACTGCTGCCCCCATCCCAGTCTCTGCTTTCCTTAATAGGCATGTGCAATCCATGCTTCTAAATAGTTCTAAAACATTTACAAAACTAAAGTTCTGGTGGTGAAAATTAGGGGGCGCTGGTGCTTTGCTTCTACGGTGTTGATAAAGTTCTGGTGGTGAAAATTTCAGAACTTTAACAAAACTTTCAAAATTTCATTATTATTTCTTTATTGATTATTTGTTGCATCCCAGATCAGGAAACGAGACCATAAGATTAAATCCACCACACTGGACTGTGGGGAAAAACAATCCTCTTTATTGATGAAAAATGGTTACAAAAGAAAGGTAAATGCAAAGTCAAAATGCCACAGTAGAAACACAGCAGTCAGAAAAACTCTGAACTTGAGCAAAATTCCAAAAGACACAATACAACCAGGAACCTGTTAGCCTCTCGCTAACCATGTACTTGAAAAACTAGAAGCCTCTGGGATTACCAGCCATGGAACACAGGAATTCCGATAGAGCTACAAGCTGGGTAGATGCGGGGAATGCCATGGATGGAGCGTACCTGGATTTCAGTAAGGCCTTCTTTGACAAGGTCCCCCATGACCTTCTGGCAAGGAAACTAGTCCAATGTGGGCTAGGCAAAACTACGGTGAGGTGGATCAGTAATTGGTTAAATGGACAAACCCAGAGGGTGATTCTCCCCAATGCTTCCTCTTCATCCTGGAAAGAAGTGACAAGTGGAGTGCCATCAGCAGGGTTCCTTCCTGGGCCCGGTCCTGTTCAACATCTTTATTAATGACTTAGATGAAGGGCTAGAAGGCAGGATCATCAAGTTTGCAGACGACACCAAATTGGGAGGGAGAGCCAATACTCCAGAGGACAGGAGCAGGATTCAAAACGATCTTGACAGATGAGAGAGATGATTGGCCAAAACTAACAAAATGAAGTTCAACAGGGACAAATGCAAGATACTCCACTTTGGCAGGAAAAACGAAATGCAAAGATACAGAATGGGAGATGCCTGGCTCGAGAGCAGTACGTGTGAAAAAGATCTTGGAGTCCTCGTGGACAACAAGTTAAACATGAGCCAACAATGTGATGTGGCGGCAAAAAAAGCCAATGGGATTTTGGCCTGCATCAATAGGAGCATAGTGTCTAGATCCAGGGAAGTCATGCTCCCCATGCTCTATTCTGCCTTGGTTAGACCACACCTGGAATATTGTGTCCAATTCTGGGCACCACAATTCAAGACAGATATTGACAAGCTGGAATGTGTCCAGAGGAGGGCGACTAAAATGATCAAGGGTCTGGAGAACAAGCCCTATGAGGAGCGGCTTAAGGAGCTGGGCATGTTTAGCCTGAAGAAGAGAAGGCTGAGAGGAGATATAGCCATGTATAAATATGTGAGAGGAAGCCACAGGGAGGAGGGAGCAAGCTTGTTTTCTGCTTCCTTGGAGACTAGGATGCAAGGAACAATGGCTTCAAACTACAAGAAAGGAGATTCCATCTGAACATTAGGAAGAACTTCCTGACTGTGAGAGCCGTTCAGCAGTGGAACTCTCTGCCCCGGAGTGTGGTAGGTGCTCCTTCTTTGGAAGCTTTTAAGCAGAGGCTGGATGGCCATCTGTCAGGGGTGATTTGAATGCAATATTCCTGCTTCTTGGCAGAATGGGGTTGGACTGGATGATGGCCCAGGAGGTCTCTTCCAACTCTAGGATTCTAGGATTCTATCTCATTATTGATGATTTTTATGACAGAACCATGTGTACTAATCTTGTTACGCATATAATAATAATAATAATAATAATAATAATAATAATAATAATAATAATAATAGAAAGTGAGAGCATAAATATGCCCAGTGGCCAAGCGATCAAGTGTCACCAGCCAGAGGCCTATAAATATCTGGACATACTTCAGCTGGACAACATCAAACATGAACATGTGGAAACTGTGGTCAGCAAAGAATACATTCAAAGAGTCAGAAAAATTCTCAAAAGCAACCTCAATGGAAGCAACACCATCAAGACCGTAAACACCTGGGTCATACCTGCCATAAGATATACTGCTGGCATCATAAACTGGACACAGGCAGAACTGGACACTTTGGACAGAAAAACAAGAAAACTCACGACCATTGGGGGTTGCCCCTGAAGACTGCCCGGAAGCTTCAATTAGTCTAACGAGCGGCAGCCAGATTACTAACAGGAGCAGGGTACAGGGAGCATACTACTCCTCTGTTGCGTCAGCTCCGCTGCCTGCCAATCAGTTTCCGAGCACAATTCAAAGTGCTGGTGCTGACCTATAAATCCCTAAATGACTCCGGCCCTATTTTCCTGTCCGAACGGATTCTCCCCTACGAACCATCAAGGTTGTTAAGATCTTCTGGAGGGGCCCTGCTCTCGGTCCCACCACCTTTGCAATCGCGTCTGGTGGGGACGAGGGACAGGGCCTTCTCGGTGGTGGCCCCTCGGCTCTGGAACTCTCTCCCAATGGAGGTTAGATCTGCCCCTTCTCTCCTGACTTTCAGAAAGCTGGTAAAATCTTGGCTTTGGAACATGGCATTTGCAGAATGATGACTGAGCCAGTAACTCTTCACCACACTGACAGATGGTGATGAATTTGTGATCTTACTCAGACGACCTGGCCTTATGTAACTGTATGATTTGTATTTTATGCATTAATGTATTATGAGGTTGTGATGTTTTATACTATTGTCTATGAATCTCCTGTTGTGAACCGGCCTGACTCCTCCTTCGGAGGTCGAGAAGACCGGGTTATAAAAGCTCTAAATACATAAATAAATAAATAAATAAATAAATAAATGTATTATTGTGTAATTCAATACATCTGTCATGTATTGCAACATGTATACTACCAGTAAATGCGTCTGGCTGATGATCTTAACTGGGGCTTGATTTGGGGGATAGGGCTTATATTACGAGCTTCCTGCAGAAAAATCGTCATGCAACCACTTATTTTCCAGTTATATCTTACTCTGGGGAGAACAGGGTACATGGCTATGGTCTGCCCTGTTCTGCTGTTGACACCAATTTGTCCTTCCTGCCGAAACGGGGCTTCTTCTCTGCCGTCCTCTGACGTTTTCTCTCCCTTTTGTCTCCCCTTGCAGTACAGTGCGGTGGATAGCAACCCGCTCTCGCTCTACGTCATGCACCCTTTCTGGAACACCGTGGTCAAGGTGAGTGGTTTTTGGAGAATGGGGAGCACACAGCATGTACTCTCTGAGCCTTTGGCTAAGATGGGGGTCCCTGTATCTTGCTGAGGGGGCTAGAGCAGGCTTGGGCCAACTTCGGCCCTCTTCGAGGTGTTTTGGACTTCAGCTCCCACAATTCCTAACAGCCGGTAGGCTGTTAGGAATTGTGGGGGCTGAAATCCAAAACACCTCGAAGAGGGCCGAAGTTGGGCCAAACCTGAACTAGAGCCAAGAAAAATAGAAAATTATCAGCCAAAAGTATTGACTTTAAAAACCGAACTGCCCCTCAATTCGTGTGGCACTTTTCACCCAACAGAGTGGCTTGCTCAAATAAACTTGTTGCAGTGATCTTCTGCCTTCACCGTTGTATTGATTCAAAAACTAATTAATTGTTAATTAATAATGGAGATAATTGTCAGTGAGTTCCAACCTTGCTGTGGCCTGTGACTAACGGTCTCTGCTGTTTGGGGCGGCGCACACCATCTCACCGTGGCGCATTAACGTGTGTGTTTTCCGCATGTCTTTCTTGCTGCTTCCTTCCCCCTAGATCTTCCCCACTTGGCTGGCCCCCAATTTGATAACGTTTTGTGGCTTCCTGCTGCTTGTCTTCAACTTCTTCCTCATGGCATACTTTGACCCTGACTTTTACGCTTCTGGTAAGCACATTTTATTAAATTTGCACATTGTTTTCTTTCCAAAACTGTTGCTGGTGGTGGGGTATTAGATGTATGAATGTCGTGCAGTGCGATCAGTGTGTGATGCATGCGCCTGGCACTGATCCTGTGCATTGAGTGGCAGGGACTTGATCCTATGGCATTGCTGTCTTCAGCCTGGTTTTGCAACAGGGAGTGACCCATAAATTTAGAATTTTGTATTTATTATTATTATTTATTTATTATTTACAGCTTTTATATTCCGCCCTTCTCCTCACCCCGCAGGGGACTCAGGCCGGATTACAGTGTACACATATATGGCAAACATTCAATGCCAATTTTTGACATACAAACATATACAGACAGGAGGCTATTTAACTTTTTTTCTGGCTTCCAGGGGAGCAGTCGCTTTCCTTGTCCATCTGCGACGCTGATGAAGCACTTCCGCATTCCCCGCATGCTTCCCCGCTGGAATGCTTTGCTGGAGTCTTCTTTATGGCCTCATAAATCAGTTAATTTAGCCTCCCCACACTTTAAGGTGATGCCCAATTTTCCTACTTGACAGATGCAACTGTCTTTTGGGTTGCAAAGGTCGACAACAGGCTACACAATTGGTTGGAAACCCACTCCGACCCGGGCTGGCTTCGAACTCATGACCTTTTGGTCAGAGTGATCTTAATGCAGCTGACACTCAGCCAGCTGCGCCACAATCCTGGTGCACACAAGGATTTACACAAGGCACACAATTTACCACAAGGCTAAAAGAGGGAGCAGGCTGAGCTCCCTCTGTTAGCTCCAGCTTCTGCCAGCCTAGCAGTTTGAAAACATGCAAATGTGAGTAGATCAATAGGGACCGCTCCGGTGAGAAGAAAACGGTGCTCCATGCAGTCATGCCAGTGGCCACATGACCCTGGAGGTGTCTATGGACAACGCCAGCTCTTCAGCTTAGAAATGGAGATGAGAACCAGAGTCCCAAAGTCGGACATGACTGGACTTAATGTCAGGGGAAAACCTTTACCTTTACCTTATTGTTGTATATGAAAAAATAAGACATCCCCTGAAAATGAGCCCTCGTGCATCATTTGGAGCAAAAATTAATATATTTTGGTATGGGGGAAATTAATATATATTGGAGGAAGCATGGTAGGAGGTTCTTGCTGCCTGGGACATGGAGATCCTGGGTTGTTGTGGTGGTCAAGAGGATGCAAAAGAGCTATGCATGTTCTGCTGTGCGCTATGCTCCTTGGGCAACAATTCACTGACCTACCTTTCTTTCTTTCTTTCTTTTCTCAGCCCCCGACCGGGAGCACGTCCCGAACAGCATCTGGGTTGTGGTGGGCCTCCTCAACTTCATGGCTTACACACTCGGTGAGTGCAAAACCTACACTAGGTGCAAAACACACGGCTTAAACGAGCATTCGGTTCAATCTGAGCACATAGGACCCAAGGGCCGCCCTTCCTTTCCTTTTTTATCCCGACAACCCTTTGATGAAGAGCCTTAAGCACAATATGTGTCGGAACCCAGGCGCCTTTAAAGAGCCAGACACAGGGGTAAACTCAAAACAACAGTTTATTAAGACAACAAAAGGACTCAGAGACACTTACTTAAGCGCCTATGGTCAAAACTTAAAATCTGTAGCAGTTTGCAGCTCAAAAACTCACCTCACTACCTCTGAGGATGCTTGCCGTAGATGCAGGCGAAACATCAGGAGAAATGCCTGTGGAACATGGCCCTATAGCCCGAAAAAACCCACAAGAACCTAGTGATTCCAGCCATGAAAGCCTTCGACAATACATCAAAAACTTAACTTGGAAAATAATCCGGATTAAATTGACATATAATCTGGGATAAACAAAAGTTCAAGCAAAACGCCCCAAAATCACACAGTTCAAAGTAGGCAAACAAACAAAGAGCTGTGAAGAAAAGCCGTTGTCCAAAAGCAGTAAAAGGTTGAGGAAATTCCAGAAGAAGTATTCAGAGTCCAAAAGACAGCGTTGTCAAAATAATCCAAGGTTGAAGAGAAGGGGAAATCCGCACTTACGAGAATCCAAGCCAGTCGATACAGCATCCTGCAGTTCCAGGACCCAAGCCCAACAAGAGAAACGGCAGCGACAGAAGCCAAGGCACGAATCCAACACTTTGCCTACTGCAAAGTTCCAAACTTTCAGTGCCTTCATTTATCCTACAACTCATCATCCATTGATGAGCTGCCCTCTCCTCATTGCTGTCAGCGGTCCTACCCATTACAGCTGAGCGCCAACACCCATCTCTCCAACTCTTCCACTTCTTGTCAAGACTTAGGTCTCCCCATGATTCCCTGGTATCACCAGACTGCCAATCCCCAGAGAACCCTCCAAAAGTATCACTGGATGTGGGTTGCATGCACACCTTCCTGACTTCTTGTACTTGAGTCCAATCCAATGATTCCCCTTTGTCCTCACTACTCCCAGACCCATTACTTCCAGTAAAGCCCATAAAATCCTCCTCCTCAGTTGGAGCAGTAAGTATGTCACGGATCCGTTTCCTCTGACACTCCTCGTCTGACTCTTGCTCGCAAGTAGTCCTTTTTACACCTCTACTCCCATCTCCCTCCTCCTCCATTTCACTTTCTGAGAAGCCTTCGAAAGAGTCTTCATCTGTAGGTGACATGAATACTTCCCTGATTCTCTTTCTTTGTTGCTCTTCATCCAACACCTGAGCACCTCTCTTCCCTCCTCTGCTACTCCTACTTTCAGTTGTAACATTGCCAGTAGACTCAACTGCAACAATATGTATGTGATTACCTCTAAAGCCCTACTCACTTCAGTGAACTATCATTGCTATGCCCAGCCAGGAATATTCTCATGAGAAACTGCCCTTTTCACTGGGGCCTCTCTGTCAGTGTCTGCCTGAAAATCATTGACCAAACCATCTCCATCTTGTACCTCGCAACATCATTTCATCATTTCCCACATCAGGATCCTGAAACACAAACACAGGCTGATTCCCAACAAGGAGGTAGAAGTGACCTCTCCATCCAGGCAAATAGCAAAAACACCTTAAGTTACATCAGTCTAGGAAACAGAGGTAGAACACAAGGCAGCCGCCGCTGACCGGTGCCTTGAGTGACCACTCTCTCCCATTCCTTTGCAGATGGAGTGGACGGGAAGCAGGCCCGCCGGACACAGTCCTCCACGCCACTGGGGGAGCTCTTTGACCACGGCTTGGACAGCTGGGCCTGCATGTTCTTCGTGGTGACTGTCTACTCCACCTTTGGCCGGGGCCCCAACGGGGTCAGCGTCTTCGTCCTCTACCTCCTCCTCTGGGTGGTCCTCTTCTCCTTCATCCTCTCCCACTGGGAGAAGTACAACACCGGCATCCTCTTCCTGCCCTGGGGCTACGACATCAGCCAGGTGGTAAGTCATATTCCCCAAACGCTGCTTCGCTGTCCGGTTTTAGCAGAGCTCATCTTTTCAGCACTGCAAAACACGTTGGGTGCTCTTCAGGGGACTGAGATGGGATGAGAGCCATGGCTTGGTGGGGTCCAGTTGCTTTGCAGGAGGGACCATATGATCCTCGTTACAGAATAGCAAGAGGGGACATGAGAGCCATGTTTAAATATTTGAAAGGAGGTCACATTGAGGAGAACGGGAAAGCTTGTCTTCTACCGTTCCATAAATTAAGATAGGACCTTCACTGCCATATAATCCAGTTTCGGATTTATATGGAGCCCCCAGTAGCACAGCGCGTTAAAACCTTGTGCTGGCAGGACTGAAGACTGACAGGTTGCAGGTTCGAATCCGATGAGAGTGAGGATGAGCTCCCTCTGTCAGCTTCAGCTCCCTATCTGGGGACATGAGAGAAGCCTCCCAAAAAGATGGTAAAACTGTTGCACTCCAGGTCAAACTGATAGTGTTGTGACTCAGGTGGGGTCTCAGAGTGACTCTGATGAGGATGATGGGATTCAGGTTCACAATCAGGTTCAAAATGTTCCTGTTGTAGACAATGAGGAACAGGGTGTGCGGGTTCAGTTTCCCACAGCAGGGAATGATGTTTTTGCTACTGAAACTAACCAGGTGCAGATTGACTCAGAAAAGGAGGACAGTTCTCAGCCTGATAGTAAGCAAGAAGGCAACCAGGCTGACACTAACGAGCAGCCTGACCTTGATGAAACGGGAACCTTAATCGGTCTGACCGTTTGGAATTCAGAGTTCGAAGGAGTGTGAGAATAGCTAACAAGGAGGAGGTCAGAAGCTAAAGAAATGCTTTCATGTTTTGCAAAGGATATTAAGCAGTGTGTTTGAAAACAAACCTTTGTCAGAGCAACTTTTCGCTCAACCAAGCAGCTTGTGCTCGTTTGCCTGGATTATCTTCTAGTTCTTGTGTCCATGGTCTCAGGACTTTGTCATGTTCTCATGAGATTTCGGTTTGTTGGGGACTCTTGGAATCCTGCTTTACAGTGCTATGTTTTATTGATCTTTGGAACATTACTTTCTTTTAAGAACTTTTTATCTTTTACTTTTTAATAAACTACAAAGACTTCAGTCCATGTGCAGTTTGGTGATTTCAGCAAGGTGAATCTACTCTGAGGTGTGACTGCCCAGCCCTAAGCAGAGGCTGGTGGGAGGGCTTACATGGTGTCTTCCAGCCTGGCTGAAGTGGGTAGATGCCCCTCAATGACCTTTCCATCTCCAGGATTCAGTAGCTCTAGGATTCTTTGTTGGGATTGTCTTCTTTGTGGGAAGACAGGGCTCTTCCAGAATGAGCAATTGCGGCACACAGACCAGGGCTCTGTGTCCACTCTGCTGTCTGTTGGGGTTCAGCCTGTTTGTGAACCTGAACCTGATTCTCTGATTGTATTTCCTGATGCCAATGAAGATGTTGAATCTGAAGTCAATGTAGAAGATGACGGTTTGTGTAGTGAAACTCCTTCAGCCTTGGAAAGTGAATGTCCAAATTCCCATGAGAATATTTCAGAGCCAAGTGGTGAACTTTCACTCCCTTTTCCTCCCAGTCTTAGCTCTCCAGAGAATCTGACACCTGGGCTCTCCAATGAGGATAGGAGAGGGCAGATTTGGCAGAGCAGAGGAGAATCTCAAAGTTTACGAAGGTCAGCTAGACTGAGAGAAATGCAAACAAAGCCTTCAGGCGTGTCACGTAATAGATTTCTCGGCCTTAAGTACCTCTTGCCTGGATGCATCTTCAGACCAGGCATCGTTCCAGATTCGTGCATCACCGTTGGCAGGTCTCCTGATTCCAGTGGCCTTATTCCTAAGAGGCTTCCTAGTTGCTTCAAGTACGGTTAGTGGATTGCTAACAGGTTCCAGGATTTGGCAGTGTTACTGTGGGGTTTTGATTTTTTTTATTATTATCTTGTTCATGGACATTTCTTGTTACTGATTTTTACTGTGGCTTTTTACCTTGCATACTTCCTCTATTTTTGTACTCATCTTTCATCAATAAAAAAGGATTGTTTTTCCTGAAATCAAGTGTGGCGGATTGTTGTCTTAGGGTCCAGTTTCCTGCTCTGGGTTGCAACACAGCCCTGCAGCCAGGCAAACACTTTTGCCCTTTGGTGAGCGAGCTCTTTTCTCGTTTCCTTCCCCAGACCATCTCCATCGTCTACATCGTGACCTCCATCGTGGGGGTGGAGGCCTGGTACAAGCCCTTCCTGTTCAACTTCTTCTACCGAGACCTCTTTGTCGCCATGATCATTGGTAAGGAATGCATTTCATCCGTGGGCTTTCAATTGTATTTTAACTCTCTGTATCTTGTGGCATATCTTCTAGTAATGCCTTATTATCTCTTGCTTTAATGGTGTTGTATCTCACTTTGAGCTGCAGGGAGAGGCGGGTAATAAATTGGGTATTATTCTATTATTATTTGAAACACAACAAGATAAGTCCACAGCAGACAAGATCGCTCTGCGGGCTGTTGTATTGGGTAATAATAATAATATTATTTATTTATTTATTTATTTATTTCGGTTACTTCTACCCCACCCTTCTCACCCTGAAGGGGACTCAGGGCGGCTTACAAAAGCAAGGCACAATTCGATGCCCGCATCACATAACAGCAATAAGACAAAATAACATCAATTAACAATTAACAACAATTCTTGCATTACAACCGTAAAACCAATACAAACCAATTTCTCCTCATTGACGGTCAGCATTTGCTATCTCATAGTTCAAATTCCAACTCCACAATTGTCAGTCCTGTCAGTCCTATCCATCTGGTTGTCCATATCTAGTTGTCAGATTGCCCAAAGGCCTGGTCCCACAACCACGTCTTTACTTTCCTCATGAAGGAGAGGAGGGATGTTGATGCCCTAATTTCCCCCGGGAGTGAGTTCCACAGGTGAGGGGCCACCACCGAGAAGGCCCTGCTCCTCGTCCCCACCAACCTCACTTGTGATAGCGGTGGGGTCGGGAGCAGGGCCCCCCCAGATGATCTCAAATTCCAGGGGTGGGACGTAGAGGGAGATACGTTCGGACAGGTACGCTGGACCGGAACCGTACAGGGTTTTGTAGGTCAAAACCAGCACCTTGAATTGTGCTCGGAACTGAACCGGCAGCCAGTGGAGCTGACACAGCAGGGGGGGTGGTATGCTCCCTATATGTCGCTCCGGTGAGCAATCTGGCTGCCGCTCGCTGGACCAGTTGAAGTTTCTGAACAGTCTTCAAGGGCAACCCCACGTAGAGTGCTTTGCAGTAGTCTATTCGGGATGTAACAAGAGCGTGGACCACTGTGGCCAGATCAGACTTCCCAAGGTACACAAGTTTTAATTGTGCAAAAGCTCTCCTGGTCACCGCCGAGATCTGGGGTTCCAGGCTCAGCGTTGAGTCCAGGATCACTCCCAAGCTGCGAACCTGCGTCTTCAGGGGGAGTGTCACCCCATCCAACACAGGCTATAACCCTATGCCCTGTTCGGCCTTATTTATACCCCACCACCATCTCCCCAAGGGGACTCGAGGCGGCTTACATGAGGCCAAGCCCAACAAATACATCAGTACAACAACAAAGCAAGCAAGCAAATAAAATGGTACAAATAATATAACTAACATATAAGCAGAATTAACACACAAAGATTTAAAACACTATGGCAGGGCCAGATGTAATAGATTAAAAGAGAGGGAGGGAAGGAGGGAGAAAGAGAGAGAGAGAGGACACCCTCCCCCAGATCCACCCCCTCCCCTTCCTTTCCTTTCCCTCTATGTCTATAATAATAATATCTATATTCATATAATATGTATACATCTGTAATAATAACAGCTATATAATATCTATAATAATAATAAAATCAGTATGCCTAAAATAATATCTATAATATCTATAGGTCTGTGTACTGAGAGCTTAGAAACCAGTTCTTCCTCTTTCCTTTTTTCCCCATTTTTCCACAATTTTATTTATTTATTTATTGACAGCTTTTCTATTTTGCCCTTCTCCTCACCCCGCAGGGGACTCAGGGCGGATTACAGTGTACACATATATGGCAAACATTCCATGCCAATTTTTGACATACAAACATATACAGACATACACAGAGGCTATTTCACTTTTTCTGGCCACTTTCATTGTCCATCTGCGACGCTGATGAAGCCCTTCCGCATTCCCCGCATGCTTCCCCACTGGAATGCTTTTCTGGAGTCTTCTTTATGGCCTCACAAATCAGTTAATTTAGCCTCCCCACACTTTAAGGTGGTACCTTATTTTCCTACTTGACAGATGCAACTGTCTTTCGGGTTGCAAAGATCAACAACAAGCTACACACAATTGGTTGGAAACCCACTCCAACCCGGGCTGGCTTCGAACTCATGACCTTTTGGTCAGAGTGATCTTAATGCAGCTGACACTCAGCCAGATGCGCCACAATCCCGGTGAACACGATGCATATAGTGAACACGATGCATGCAGCTGCCTTCCTTGCAGGAACGTGGGACTTTCAGTGGGCTCACATCTCCCTCTATGTCTCCTCCTCTTTCTCCAGGCTGCGCACTGACGGTGACCGTCCCAATGAGCCTCTTGAATTATTACAAGTAAGTCCTCTCTGAACGGAAATGTCTCCGCTTCTGTATACAGGGTTAGTCAAAATGAATAGGCCAATAAGAAAATTAATTTTAGACGAATGTATGTTTACTGTAACCAAACCACAGCTACGTAGCGACAGATAACTATCAAAGTTTTTTTTGAGCAACACACATGTACGTTAATGCCGCTAGGCGTCGCTAGGGGTCGCTGTTTTCAAAATGGCGGAATCAAGCAAAGAGAAGGCGTTTTGTGTGATGACATTTGCTAAAACAATGTCAGTAATTACGGTCCAGCGAGAATTTCAAGGGAGGGTTAGGGTTAGGGTTAGGGTTAGGGTTAGGGTTAGGGTTAGGGTTAGGGTTAGGGTTAGGGATAGGGTTAGGGTTAGGGTTAGGGTTAGGGTTAGGGTTAGGGTTAGGGTTAGGGTTAGGGTTAGGGTTAGGGTTAGGGTTAGGGTTAGGGTTAGGGATAGGGATAGGGTTAGGGATAGGGTTAGGGTTAGGGTTAGGGATAGGGTTAGGGTTAGGGTTAGGGTTAGGGTTAGGGTTAGGGTTAGGGTTAGGGTTAGGGATAGGGATAGGGATAGGGGTAGGGTTAGGGTTAGGGATAGGGTTAGGGTTAGGGTTAGGGATAGGGATAGGGTTAGGGTTAGGTTAGGGTTAGGGTGGGGTAGGGATAGGGTTAGGGATAGGGATAGGGTTAGGGTTAGGGATAGGGATAGGGTTAGGGTTAGGGTTAGGGTTAGGGTTAGGGGTAGGGTTAGGGTTAGGGTTAGGGTTAGGGATAGGGTTAGGGTTAGGGTTAGGGTTAGGGATAGGGTTAGGGTTAGGGTTAGGGATAGGGATAGGGTTAGGGTTAGGGTTAGGGTTAGGGTTAGGGATAGGGTTAGGGTTAGGGTTAGGGTTAGGGTTGGTTAGGACCTCAACGAACACCTTCCCAGACGTTGCTGCATTCGATGCCATTACGTCGGATGTGCTGCAACGGATGTGGAATGAACTGGACTATCGCTTGGACATCTGCCGTGTCACACGGGGCGCCCATATCGAACATCTCTGAAGGTGAGACAAAACTTTGATAGTTTATCTGTCGCTACGTAGCTGTGGTTTGGTTACAGTAAACATACATTTGTCTAAAATTAATTTTCTTATTGGCCTATTCATTTTGACTAACCCTGTATAGTGTTAACTGAAATAAAAGATAAGAGCCACTCCAGGTTTTGGAGCTGACTGGAGTAGTTCGCTTCATTATTTGCTTTTGTGCCTTTGAGCAGACGGTCAAGAGCTCAATAAATCGACACTTCAGCCCATCTATTAGCAGAGTTCCACTGCCACCAACCTTATCTACACACTGTTTAGTAAACTCACGGATTCAGGTTTCATCCAAAATATCCAGAAGCTTTCATTTTCACTGTTGCAATACATACAAGTGTAGAAACAGGATACACTTCCCTCATTCTTGCAAACAATCCGCGTAATCAGATAGTCACATACAACATAGACTCACACTGAGTCACACAGGAGAAAGAAAGATGGATTCTCTCATCCTTTTTTATAGCCACCTGTTGACAGATCATCAGTAAGGGACATTGGCTGATGCAACCTCTCTGCAATATCTCTCCTGGTTCTGAGTCAGCCATTACCACATTCCCTTAGGCGTTGCATCATTACCCTGGTGCTATCAATATTCCATATTTATTTATTTATTTGCTGCATTTGTTGACCGCCGCTCTCAGCCCTAGGGCGACTCGCGGCGGTGTACAACATATAAAAACAGTTTACAATAAGGCACAACAAGAAATCAACATATCAATAATACACACTAATCTAAATTACACTAGCTAATCCGCATCGTCACAACATAGAATCATAACCAATCTCGTAATCCGTATACCGTTCCAGTTGTCCTTACCAGTCAATGTAGCACTCAGTTAAATGCCTTCTCAAATAGCCAGGTCTTTAGGCTTTTACGGAAAGCCATAAGGGAGGGCGCCTGTCTGATGTCAACAGGGAGGGTGTTCCACAGCCGGGGGGCCACCACCGAGAAGGCCCTCTCTCTCGTCCCCACCAGACGTGCCTGTGAGGCAGGCGGGATCGAGAGAAGGGCCTCCCCAGACGATCTCAAGGCCCTCGTGGGCTCATAGGCCGAGATGCGGTCCGAAAGGTATTTTGGGCCGGAACCGTTTAGGGCTTTGTAGGATAACACCAGCACCTTAAATTGGGCCCGGTAGCAGATCGGCAGCCAGTGGAGCTGGGACAACAAGGGCGTTGTGTGCTCCCTGCGTCCCGCTCCCGTTAGTAACATGGCTGCCGCGTGCTGGACTAGCTGAAGCTTCCGGGCCGTCTTCAAGGGCAGCCCCACGTAGAGAGCGTTGCAGTAGTCAAGGCGGGATGTGACCAGAGCGTGTACCACCGTGGCCAAGTCAGACTTCCCAAGGTACGGGCGCAGCTGGCGCACGAGCCTAAGCTGTGCAAATGCTCCCCTGGTCACCCGAAACCTGGGGATCCAGGCTCAAAGATGACCTGGGGCTACAAGCTGCGAACCTGCGCCTTCAGGGGGAGTGTAACCCCGTCTAGCATAGGCTGTAACCCTATGCCCTTTTTGGCCTTGCGACTGACCAGGAGTACCTCTGTCTTGTCTGGATTTAATTTCAGTTTGTTCGCCCTCATCCAGACCATTACAGCGGCCAGGCACCGGTTCAGGACCTCGACAGCCTCCTTAGTAGCAGGTGGGAAGGAGTGACAGAGTTGGACATCATCTGCGTACAGATGACACCGCACCCCGAAACTCCGGATGATCTCACCCAGCGGCTTCATGTAGATATTAAACAGCATGGGGGACAGTATAGAGCCCTGTGGAACCCCACAGGTCAAAGGCTGTGGTGTTGAACAGGAGTCCCCCAATAACACCTTCTGGGTACGGCCCTCCAGAAATGACTGGAGCCACTGCAGAGCAGTGCCCCCAAGACCCATTTCCGCAAGGCGCCCCAGAAGGATACCGTGGTCGACGGTATCGAAGGCCGCTGAGAGGTCCAGGAGCACCAACAGGGACACACTCCCCCTGTCTAGCTCCCGGCGCAGATCATCCACTAAGGCGACCAAGACCGTCTCGGTTCCATGTCCCGGTCTGAAACCAGACTGTGCCGGATCCAGAAAATCCATGTCTCCCAAGAATACCTGGAGTTCATCAACCAGTATTTTTTTATGACTAGAAATGTAAAGGGTCACGGGTTTAGGGTGCGGGGTCCCTTTTTGAAGAAATCCATAGAGTCCAATAAGTTCAGGCAAGACATCGTTTATTCAAGCTGATCAGCATGAGGTGGACAAACAGCACTTCTGTAAATGTTCCCACAGACTGCCGCCCCCTCCTCAGCTTTCTGCAAACCTTTATACTCAAGTAATACAAGGGTTTTTTTGGTCATGGAAAGTACTCTCTTTCCAGCACCCTTCCCTTGACCTTTTGATGGAAAGTACCTTCTTGCACCTGCAGACTTTGTGCTTAACCACAAACCAACTTCCTATGTAAGCTTGAACTTTGTATGACCTCTATATGTCACCTCTTGTTTTTAAAACATTTTCATGCTGCTCCTTTTCTACAGAGAAGGGGTACATTTCTCCCTTGTTGCTAATTTCATTCAAAGGCCCCTTCACTGTGCCATTTCTAACACTGTTTCCCTTCTGCCTTATCCGCCCCCCCCCCTTGTCCCCCTCACAGGGCCTACAAGAGCAAGACGCTGAAGCACCGCTCCGCCTACGAAGCCCTGCTGCCCTTCTTCTCGCCGGTCCTGCTCTTCGCCTTGTGCTCTGCCTGGATCTTCTGGTCGCCCACCGACATTCTAGAAGCCCATCCGCGCCTCTTCTACTTCATGGTGGGCACCGCCTTCGCCAACATCTCGGTGAGTGCAACATCCCTGCTTCTGCAGTTCTCAGGGCCTCACTGACCGATCATGGGGAGAACTGGTCAGTCTCCCTCCGGCCACGCACCCCCGTGGGCCCAGGAAGAGCTGGGAAATGCCCTCAGAAGGTGCATCTCTGAGCATTGCTGAGCCTTCTGGCAGGATACTACAACTAGCCTCTGGCAGACGCATGCCATATAGTTGCACTGGAGGACCGAAGAAATGCATAGAAAGGATGTATTTGATGAAACACTGGTGAATAATGCAATAGGCACTGGTCCCACGGAGGCAGGAATCATAGAAACATAGACTAATCAACTTGGAAGAGACCACATGGGCCATCTAGTCCAATCTCCTCCTGCCATGCAGGAAAAGCACAAGCAAAGCTGCCCCAAAAGATCCAGCCTCTGCTCAACAACAACAACAATAGAATCCTAAAGTTGGCGCCCTCAAAGGTCATCCAGTCCAACAATCTGTTATGCAGGAAAAGCACAATTAAAGCAGCCCCGACAGATGGCTGTCCAGTTTCTGATTCAAAGCCTCCAAAGAAGGAGCTTCCAACAAATTTCGAGGCACCTAGTTCCACTGTTGAACAGCTTTTCTTACATGTATTGTTGAAGGCTTTCATGGCTGGAATCCCTGGGTTGTTGTAGGTTTTTCGGGCTGTCTGGCCATGTTCCAAAAGCATTCTCTCCTGACGTTTCACCTGCATCTATGGTAGGTATCCTCAGAGGCTGTGAGGATGCCTGCCATAGATGCAGGTGAAACGTCAGGAGAGACTGACAGGCAGACAGAGAGGCCAGTGAGGGAAGGGCTTTTATCTGCCAAGTAACTCCTCTGCCTAAGTCGTTGATGAGGACTACCAACATGGCAGGATGTGGTTGACTTCCAATAGTCTTTGCATGGGCCTTGCCCTTGTTGGGGGGCAGCAAATGGGGAGGTGCTGGTGCCGCCGCCTCCCTTGAACGCCCCTCACGGAGTGCCTTTCCCATCTCCCCCCATTAGTGCCGGCTGATCGTCTGCCAGATGAGCAGCACCCGCTGCCAGCCCCTCAACATCCTGCTGCTGCCCCTCGCGCTGGTCATCCTGGCGGTCGTCTCGGGGGTCCTGGCCCAGCAGGAGACCCTCCTCCTCTACCTGCTCACCTGCCTCATCACTGCAGCCCACATCCACTACGGTGTCAGCGTGGTAAGTGAGGGACATACACACACACCCCAGTGAAGGAACATTCGAAATCTGTGGCAGAACCGGCTTCAGCAGAAGTGCCCTGGGTCCATAATCGCTAGGAATAATATCAGTCTCTATAACAGAGTGCGGTGTTGCCTGTGCTATTTATAATATGCTGGAAACGGGTGGGAAAATACGCAGGATACGCTCTGGTAGGGTTTAGAAAAGAGGAGGGGATCTTATGTTTCTTGTTGCAGGTAATATTTCCTCGCATAATTGTCACACTCCATGTTTTTGGCACCAAAAATTATGAATTTTTGTTTTCTTCGCATAATAGTCGCAACTTCCATTTTAGGCTGATTCTCCCTTCCTTCCTCTTTCTCCGGGGCAGTTTAAAAACTATAAAATTGAGATTTCTGAAACTTGGATCTTCCTTCTTTCCTCCATTATCCAAAGAGTTCCAGTCCAGGTTTTGTAAACTGCCTTATGGCCATGGAGTGCAGCTGCAGAGACCACCCTTTTAGAGTTTTGAAACTGTTTTGCCTTCGGAGAAAGGAGGAAAGAAGGAAAAAAATCAGCCCCAAATGGCCCTGCAGTTTACATACAAACCAACAGAAATGGATCTGTTTCTGTTCAGTCTGGATCATTCCTCCTGCTCCTCCCCTTTCGGAGATAAGGCATTTTATTTAAAAAGAACATGAAGAAAATCTTTTTCCTCACGTAATGGTCGCATCCCCCTTTTTGATTAAAAGGGGGGGATTGCGACTACTAAGCGAGGAAATATGGTATATCTCAGATAAAAGCATAGATAAGTTAATATCCCTCATATATAGGAGTAGATAAACAAAAGAAAGTTCCCTAACTTTGGTAGAAGAGAGGGGTCAAAGGACGGATGAGGAGCCCCGTTTCTGCAGGAAGGATATTCGGTGTCAAGAGCAGAACAGGGTGCAGTGTGGCCAGGGCAATATATAACCTTATGGAAGGAAACAAGAGAGGAAGTAGGCTCTGCTAAGGGTTAAACAGATTAAAACCTACAGGTGATACATCTCAGATAAAAGAGTAGATAAAAGAAAGAGCTTCTTAACTTTGGTAGAAGAGTCCCTAATGTTGACATGTCATGTGTAAGGCATCTTGAGGCAGAGAGAGGTCCTCCTAGCGCTCCCTCCTCAAAAAAAGGTAAAGAGCACAAGACTGTGGGAAAGAAGGACTAACAGATGCAAGCAAGAAGCAAAACCACCTTGAGATATATAGGTCTAGGAAACAGAGGTGCAACACAGTCTGCACCACAGGGCCCCCCTTTCTCCCCAGTGACTCTGTGTATACAAGTGTGGATGTGTCTTCACTTCCAACTCTTAAACCTTCTTCCCTCTGTCTCCAATGGCTTAGTATACAAGTGTGGTTGTGTCTTCACTTCCGGTTCCTAGGCCTTCTTCCCAATATGTCCTATGGCTTAGAATGTGAACTCCTAGACCTTCTTCTTTCTGTCTCCAGTGGCTTAGTAAACAAGCGTGGATGTGTCTTCAATTCCATCTCCTAGACCTCCTTCCCTCTGTCTCCAATCCCTTAGTATACAAGTGTGGATGTGTCTTCACTCCCAACTCCTAGATCTTCTTCCCAATATCTCCAATGCTTTGTATATAAGCGTGGATGTGTCTTCTCTTCCAATTCCTAGACCTTCTTCCCAATATCTCCAATGGCTTAGTATACAAGTGTGGATGTGCCTTCACTTCCAATTCCTAGACCTTCTTCTCTCTGTCACCAGTGGCTTAGTAAACAAGCGTGGGTGTATCTTCACTTCCAACTCCTAGACCTTCCTCCCTTTGTCTCCAATGGCTCTGTGTACAAGTGTGGATGTGCCTTCACTTCCAATTCCTAGACCTTCTTCCCAATATCTCCAATGGCTCAGCATACAAGTGTGGATGTGTCTTCACTTCCAACTCCTAGACCTTCTTCCCAATATCTCCAATGGCTCAGTATACAAGTGTGGATGTGCCTTCACTTCCAATTCCTAGACCTTCCTCCATTTGTCTCCAATGGCTCTGTGTACAAGTGTGGATGTATCTTCACTTCCAACTCGTAGACCTTCTTCCCTCTGTCCCCAATGACTCTGTGTACAGGAGTGAATGTGTCTTGCCTTGTGGTGCTTCACCCTCAAACACTGGGTCCATGAAGCCTGGAGACCTCATTCTCCCCTTTCCTTCCTCCCAGGTGAGCCAGCTGAGCCAGCACTTCCACATCCGGACCTTCTCCCTCCGGAAGCCCAGTTCGGACTGACTAGGCGTGGAGGAGGCCATGGCGGCCGGAGCCGAGGAGAAGGTCGCCCTGCGCTCGGCCGAGGAGTTGTAAATCCGGACGCCTGTCCTGTAAATATTCTTCGCCTTCACCACAGAACTGGATTTGGACCCACTCTGGACAGCCGTGGAGCAGAGGACGTGCCAGGCGTGGCGGCTTGCGGGGGCATCTTTCCTCCACTCCCTCCTTCCTTCCTTCTTTATTACTGACACTGCAACCTTTTGGGCAGGAGGCCACGCCACTCGAGTGGACAGAGGTCGGTGGGGCCACTTTGTCCTCCAGCGGTGGGTTGTGCCATTGAGATACCGTCCATAAAGACTCCGAGGCTGTGGGGTGGCCACAGTCTTGTGAAAGGGTTTGGGGTTTGGAGGAGGAAAGGGTGACCGCTCCATGTCCGAAATGGCAAGTTCATCCACGCCAGAGAAGAAGCAGGAGGAGCCTGGTATTTGGAACTATTTGGAACGGGGCTGTGTTGGTGTCTTTGGGCAGATGGTGTTTGCTCCGCGTCCTGATATTTCGGAAGGGCCCACGTTGGGGTCGGGATGACCACCACCAGTGATGTTTAGGCTGCATTCTCCAACGACACGCAGCCATTTGCTTGAATACCAGGACACAAGTGGCATGACTGGATCGGTCTCTGCTTTGAAGAAAGAGGAGGAACCTCATGTCTGGAAGGAAGCATGGATGACCACGACTGAGACATGAGCTGAGTCCTTTAAGGAGAGCTTTCTGACGTTCACCTTTTTCTTGCTCCTTGAAGTCCAGGACTCGGACTGGACCCCAAAATCGTGCCGGAACCCTGAATATGAGCAGCCACTATTGTGGAGCAGAACGGTCAGCTCTTCCTCCTCCTCCCGTATGGCAGTGTGGCCAAATGGACCGTATGCTGTGCCAAGATGGACGCGGGAGGTGAACAGGAGGATGACACTTCCGCAGACCCTTGCGTGTCCGTCTCTCCATCCTTTCGGAAGCTTTCCTTGGCAAAAGAAACCCCCCGAATTGGATTCCCATCAACGTTTTCCTGGCGTTTTCGGGGAGCCACTTCCCCGTCTCCTTTTCTTTTCCCATCGGTGAGGATGAGAGGTCCATTTCCCCCTTTTTTTTCTGTCGGCAGCCTTATTTGACGAAGAATATTTTGCTTCCCCTTTGTGTGTGTCCTTTGTGCGTGTATGAAGAGTGCGGCCTCAACCCAGGCGCCTTGGAAGGGCCGCACCCGGAAGAAACGGAGCACAGCAAAGATATTCCTATGGAATCGAAGGCAGGGCGGTGGGTTTTCATGTGGGGGTGGGGGGTGGGGGGCAGGGAAACGGGGTTCCCTTGTTGGAATCGCGAACGGCTATTTATCTTTTCCTTTGTAAACTTGAAGCATTATGTCGATGAGAGCAACGTCCAAGCGGAGACCCTTGATCCTCGGAGACCCTCGCTCCCCTTCCCTTGTAAATAAGTCTTACTTTGGTGGGAAAAAAAAGACATCTTGAGTTTGACCACGATTGGCCACGATTGGCGTTTTGGGAAGCGAAAGGAGAGTCGGCTCGACGTCTTACGAGGTGAGCGTTCCAAAAATCAGCGGAGAAAGGACTGGATTTGGGGCCTAGACGAGGAAAGAATCCTGATTTTTGCTGATTTGTCTCATCCTTTTTTGTGTTTTTGTGGCTGTGAAATCGAGGAGGGTCGGGGAGATTTGCCTTCTTTTTTGTTTTTAAAGAAAAAATGAAATTACTTTGCACAAGGAAACAAAAGAAGAGAAGCGTGCTTGATGACCTGGTGGTATGTCGCATTTGGAATGTAATTCAGTAATCATTTGTCAATCGTACAAGCAACATTACGAAATGGGGAGGGGGGCTGCCTTTGACCCCCCCAAAGAGAGTCTGTTTTGGGGGGTGTTTTGAGTAAGGAATCATTGTGCAAGTGTGTGGCTCAGTGTCTCTTTTTTTTTGGGGGGGGGGGGGGGGAATATATATTAGTATTATTATTGTTGTTGTTGTTACTGTTTTGGAAACAGGGTCTTGGGGTCCTTCATGCCAGGAGAGGAAAAGAAGGAATTAAGGAGGCAAATCCTTCTCCCAAAAATATTGTCTTTTCCCCCCATTGCTGCAGCTTCGGAGCCCCAGCAAACCGAGCAGTTGATTTAGGAAAGCTGGAAATAAGGGTCGGGAGGCCACATTCATTCAACCTTCCCCCCCCCCCCCCAAACAAACAAACCATGGTGTTCCTTTGGAGGCCCATTTCTCCAAGGTTTCCATTGTGCCCCCCCCCCCCCAAATCTGGATTTTGCATTGAAGGAACTTGGTGCCTTAAACGACTCCTAAAGTTGAGGCCAAAAGTCTTTTCTAAAGTCCTAGTTAAAAGGAATAGTCGATCGAAGTGGCATTTCTGATACGTTTTTGTGGGGGGAAGCTATATTGAGTTGCTATTCTATATAGCACTTGAAAGCCTATTGCAAATTGGGTGAGAATCCAGGGCAAAATGGAGCAGGGGTCCTCTTCTGTTTGTTTTGGGGTCCTTTGGAGTTGTCACCCCTGACCTTTTGCAGGGACACTGCCCCTTCACCCTCCACTCTTCATTCCCCCAAATTCACTGCTCCCTTTGTCCCCATGAAGGCAGGGGCACCTCAAAACCATTCTTCAATTTGGATATATATTTGTGGGGGGGGGGGGGGGGGGGGCCACATCAACCTACTTCGCAAGGTCCAGGTCCATTTGGGGGTAGAGGTCAGTTCTGGAATGAACCCCAATTTGCTTTGAAGCAAACCCCCATTTGTTTTGTAGAGAATCCCAATTTGCTTCAGCGCAAACCCCAATTTATTTCCGGATGAATCCCAATTAGCTTTAGAGTGAACCCAAATTTACTTTGGAGCAAACCCAAATCTGCTTTGGCACAAACCCCAAATTGCTTCAGAGCAAACCCCAATTTGCTTTGAAGAAAATCCCAAATAGCTTTAGAGCGAACTCAAATTTGCTTTGGCGCAAACCCCAAATTGCTTCAGTGCAAACCCCAAATTGCTTCAGCACAAACCCCAATTTATTTCTGGATGAATCCCAATTAGCTTTGGAGCGAACCCAAATTTGCTTTGGAGCGAACCCAAATTTGCTTTGAAGCATATCCCAATTAGCTTTAGAGCGAACTCAAATTTGCTTTGGCACAAACCCCAAATTGCTTCAGCGCAAACGTCAAATTGCTTCAGCACAAACCCCAATTTATCTCGGGATGAATCCCAATTAGCTTTAGAGCGAACCCAAATTTACTTTGGACTGAACCCAAGTTTGCTTCAGCGCAAACCCCAAATAGCTTCAGAGCAAACCCCAATATGCTTTTAGCACAAACCCCAAATTATGTCGGAGCAAACCCCAATTTGCTTTGAAGCAAATCCCAATTTGCTTTGAAGCAAATCCCAATTTATTTCAGGGTGAATCCCAATTAGCTTTAGAGCGAACCCAAATTGACTTTGGAGCAAACCCAAATTTGCTTTGGCGCAATTGCTTCAGTGCAAACACCAAATTCCTTTGGAGCAAACCCCAATTTGCTTTGAAGCGGATCCCAATGTGCTTCAGTGCAAACCCGAGTTTACTTTGGGATGAATCCCAATTAGCTTTAGAGTCAACCTAAATTTACTTTGGAGCGAACCCAAATCTGCTTCAGCATGAACCCGATTGCTTCGGAGAAAACCCCAATTTGCTTTAGAGCAGACTCCAATTTGTATTGAAGTGAACCATGTTTTGCTTCGGCACACACCCCAATTTTCCTTGGAGGAATCACCAATTTGGAGTGAACCCCAGTTAGCTTTGGAGTGAACCCCAATTTGTTTTGGGACGCATCCCAATTTGCTTTGAAGCAAAACCCCAGTTTGCTTTGGCACTAAACGTACTTTGTTTCAGCGTGAACCTCAGTTTGCTTCGGATCGAACCTCAATTTATTGAGACAGGTGCGATGTGACATCAGATCCAGTGTGCTGGGCAAGGGACACCCCAAAACTTGGGCTCACCCCAATGAAGCCAAACTTTTTTTTTGAGAGTGGGGGGAGAGATGGAAGGGGTTTGAATTAGCTCCCATTGACCCCCATTGGGGTGCAGGCTGGGTCTGACCCTTCCCTTTCCTCCCCCTTGCATCCAGGACACCCACAAAGGAATTAGCTGAACCCCCCCCCCCCAAAAGGAAGTGGACCTGGGGTGCCCCTCCCTTGTCAGAGACCACAACATTTGGGGTTCAGAGTTCAGTGCCATCCCCTGATCTGTCCTTTTTTTGGGGAGAGGGCACGTTGCTTGCAAGGATTGTGGCTGCATTTGGTGACGGGATTCTGTTTGGTCTCAACATTTTGGGGTGGTGAGGGGAGTCCGTCTCTGTATCAGGTTTGTCCAGGTGGGTGACCCAAGTCTGTGTTTTTATTGGGGGGGGGGTCCCTTTGTGTCTCATTGGTGCTCTTTGTAGAGAATGGGGCCAAGGAGGGGCCCCCCTTTCTTGGTTCTAATGGCCCCAGACTGTGGCCAAGGTCAAGGCAAATCTGGCCGCGGTGGAGAACAATAACAATAATACTACTACTACTGTTATTGACTGAAACTGTAATAGGAAACGTGTGTGTTTGGGGAGGGGCCGCCCTCTTCGTCCCGATCCGTGTCTGTCTTAATGCACCGTGGGTTTGGACTCTGAGCCACGACATGCTATTATTATTACTGGTGAAATATTTATTGTATTTAAGAGAAGAAAAGAACTCAAAAAAACCCTATTATGAAATAAAACTTCAATAAAAAATTTTCCAAGCTTTTTTTTACACGTTCTCTCCTTTTCTCTGTCACCATCATCAGCATCGTGGGGGTGGGGGGGCATATATATAAGGGGGTGTGTGTGCTGGTACGGCTATACCAGGAGCTCCAAACTCCCTTTCGTTCTTTGAGCGTTTGCATGTGCTTGTTCTGGCCATGCATTTTGGAGTTGGATGGTTCCTGCTAGGCTGCAGTCATGGGGCTAGCCACCTGTCTATCATCGTTAAGCTTTAGTTCCACCCTTTTTTCCAGGTTCAGGAGGGAAAGGGAACCATTTTAGTTCAGTCTTACAGTTGGAAGCTCAGCTACATGACGTGAAAGTTCAGTCTTACAGTTAGAAGCTCAGCTACATGACGTGAAAGTTCAGTCTTACAGTTGGAAGCTCAGCTACATGACGTGAAAGTTCAGTCTTACAGTTGGAAGCTCAGCTACATGACGTGAAAGTTTCCTACCTGTAGAGAAGCTTCGTTTCTTACAAAGTCCAGGGGATAACAGTCCCAAAAGCTCTGGCTGCGTAATTTACAGCCCCACAGCTTTAAAGCAGGGGTTCTTAACCTTCCTAAAGTCACGACCCCTTAATACAGTTCCTTATGTTGTGGTTACCCCCAACCATAACATTATTTTCATTGCTACATCACAATGGTAATTTTGCTCCTAGAATCATAGAATCAAAGAGTTGGAAGAGACCTCATGGGCCATCCAGTCCAACCCCATTCTGCCAAGAAGCAGGAATATTTCATTCAAATCACCCCTGACAGATGGCCATCCAGCCCCTGTTTAAAAGCTTCCAAAGAAGTAGCGTCCACCACACTCCGGGGCAGAGAGTTCCACTGCTGAACGGCTCTCACAGTCAGGAAGTTCTTCCTCATGTTCAGATGGAATCTCCTCTCTTGTAGTTTGAAGCCATTGTTCCATTGCGTCCTAGTCTCCAAGGAAGCTTGCTCCCTCCTCCCTGTAGCTTCCTCTCACATGTTTATACATGGCCCTCATCATATCTCCTCTCATCCTTCTCTTCTTCAGGCTAAACATGCCCAGCTCCTTAAGCCGCTCCTCATAGGGCTTGTTCTCCAGACCCTTGATCATTTGAGTCGCCCTCTTCTGGACACATTCCAGCTTGTCAATATCCTGTTATGAATCATCTTGTAAATTACGGAAAAAATAGGCCCCTGTCTGATTCCACAGCAAGCTGGCTTCAGGAAAGGCAAAAGCTGCACATCGCAAGTGCTGAACCTGACTCAGCACATAGAAGATGGCTTTGAAAGGCAGCAGATCACAGGAGCTGTCTTCATAGACCTGTCAGCGGCTTATGAGACTGTGAACCACCACCGCCTCCTCCTGAGACAAATGTATAATCTCACAAAGGACCACCACCTCACCCGCCTCATAGGAAACCTGCTACAAAACAGAAGCAGATGGCGGAAACAGAAGAACGGCCTGCCTCAGGGGAGCGTGCTTGCTCCATCCATGTTCAACATCTACACAAATGACCAGCCACTGCCAGAAGGGACAGAGTTTCATCTATGCTGATGATCGTGCCATCACCGCTCAAGAAGGGAGCTTTCAGATGGTAGAACAGAAGCTCTCTGAAGCTCTAGGTGCTCTTACCGCCTATTACAGGGGAAACCAACTCATAGTATCTCATCATAACTAATCAGCAGATCACAGGAGCCATCTTCATAGACCTGTCAGCGGCTTATGATACTGTGAACCACCGCCTCCTCCTGAGAAAAATGTATAATATCACAAAGGACGACCACCTGACCCGCCTCACAGGAAACCTGCTACAAAACAGGCGCTATTTTCTTGAATTCCAGGGCCAGAGAAGCAGATGGCGGAAACAGAAGAACGTGCTTGCTGGGAAGCCCTGGCCCCTGAGTTCTCCAGCTGGAGGTCAGCTGTGACCAGCAGTGCTGCAGAATTCCCCCTCACACACACCTATTGTGTGGAGGGAAACTCTATCCGCTGAAGAAAGGCCAAGTTTGCTCTGAGGAGCCTCAGCCGTGTGAGGAAATCGAGCGGGAAGGCCGAAGGGGGGTGGCCTCGGTGATGACAGGAGGCCACGTCCCCCTCAGGTGACAAGGAGGCTGTCAACGCACTGCGCATGCGTGGTGTTAGCCACGCCCCTTCCTCAGAGGGCAGTGTGGAAAAGCAGCGAAACTGCGCAGGCGCGCGCTGACGCCCTCCCTCACCATCCAATCCCCCTGCCGGAAAAAAAAGGAAATCATTAGAAAAAAAGCATCCTTCCCGTTTTCCCCAACTGCGCAGGCGCGCGCTGTCGTCATTCCGTCATCGCCCAATCCCCTTCGATATGGGCGGAGTCTCCTGCCCGGAAAAAAAAAGAAAAATAGCTTCGTTGCCCTTTCTCCCAACTGCGCAGGCGCGCGCTGTCGTCATCCCCTTCTCATCCAATCCCCTTCGATGTGGGCGGGGAAAGAATCGTAGAAAAGCAGAGGAAGGAAGCCTAGTTTCTGTTTCTCCCCACTGCGCAGGCGCGAGTTGTCGCCACCCCTTCGACGTGGGCGGGGAAATGAAAAAAAAAGCTGACTCGTTCCTGGCTCTCGCAAGTGCGCAGGCGCGAGCTGTCGTCATCCCTCATTATCCAATCCCCTTCGATGTGGGCGGGGAAATGAAAAAAAGACTCATTACTGGCTCTCGCAAGTGCGCAGGCGCGAGTTCCTGGCTCTCGCAAGTGCGCAGGCGCGAGCCTCATTCTCCAATCCCCTTCGACGTGGGCGGGGAAATGAAAAAAGACTCATTCCTGGCTCTCGTAAGTGCGCAGGCGCGAGTTGTCGTCATCCCTCATCATCCAATCCCCTTCGACGTGGGCGGGCAAATGAAAAATACTAGTTCCTGGCTCTTGTAAGTGCGCAGGCGCGAGTTGTCGTCATCTCTCACCCAAGTGCGCAGGCGCACGCTGTCGTCATCCCTTATTATCCAATCCCCTTCGATGTGGGCGGGGAAATGAAGAAAAGACTCGTTCCTCGCTCTTGGAAGTGCGCAGGCGCGCGATGTCGTCATCCCTCATCATCCAATCCCCTTCGATGTGGGCGGGGAAATAAACACTCGTTCCTGGCTCTCCCAAGTGCGCAGGCGCACACTGCCGTCATCCCTCATCGTCCAATCCCCTTCGACCGTGGGCGGAGCTTCCTGTCCAAACAAGAAAATCACTTTTGGCCCCTCCTGCGACCCATCCTTTTCCTCACTCTCTCGTTACTTAGGGACTGTTGGCGGTCACGTGACGGCTGCTGGATTTCCCAACATGGCGGCGAGAGTAGGAGAAGCAGCAGCCACAGCAGCAGGAGAAGCGCGGGCCGTGAGGCGGAGGAGCTCTTGAAGCGGGAGGGCTGCCTGCCTTCCTCCCTTCTTCCCTCGCTCCCTCGTTCTCCTCCTCCTCTGCCCCTCGGTTCTCCTCTCCCGCGCTTCGCCCGCAGCCATGAGGGAGAAAGGCCGCAAGAAGAGGAAGGGCAGGACCTGGGCCGAGGCCGCCAGGACGGTAGGAAGCTTGGAATTCTTGGCGAAAAACTTCCTAACAGGACAGTCTTCTGTGTGCCCAGGGGGGAGTCTCTCATCTGGTATCAGCCATGGATTGAGGTGCTGGGTTTGGGCCTGCCACTTTTGGACTCTCGCTTGCTGAAGTGTTCCAGCGAGTGTCTCTGTAGATCTAAGAAAACTATTTCTAGATTTAAGTCGTTGACGTGCTGGCTGATACCTAAACAAGGGATGAGCTGGAGATGTCTCTGCCTTGGTCCTTTTACTATTGGCTGCTACTTCCCGGCAGATGTTAGGTGGTGCAATGCAGGCTAAGCAGTGTGATTTCTCCAGTGCTGTGGGGCGCAGACACCCCGTGATAATGCGGCATGTCTCATTCAGAGCCACATCCACTGTTTTCGTGTGGTGAGATGTGTTCCACACTGGGCATGCGTACTCAGCAGCAGAGTAGCATAGTGTAAGGGCAGATGTCTTCACTGTGTCTGGTTGTGATCCCCAGGTTGTGCCAGTCAGCTTTCATATTATATTGTTTCTAGCACCCACGTTTTGCTTGATATTCAGGCAGTGCTTCTTGTAGGTCAGAGCACGGTCCAGAGTGACTCCCAGGGATTTGGGTGCACTGCAATGCTCCAGTGGGAGTCCTTCCCAGGTAATAATCCTCAGAGCTCGGGATGCTTGTCTGTTCTTAAGGTGAAAAGCACATGTCTGTGTTGTAGATGGATTAGGTATCAGCTGGTTTTCCCTGTAATAGGCAGTGAGAGCACCTAGAGCTTTGGAGAGTTTCTGTTCAACCATCTCAAAGCTCCCTGCTTGAGCAGTAATGGCACGGTCATCAGCATAGATGAAGCTCTCTGTCCCTTCTGGCAGTGGCTGGTCATTTGTGTAGATGTTGAACATGGATGGAGCAAGCACACTCCCCTGAGGCAGGCCGTTCTTCTGTTTCCGCCATCTGCTTCTCTGGGCCTGGAACTCAACAAAAAAGCTCCTGTTTTGTAGCAGGTTTCCTATGAGGCGGGTGAGGTGGCAGGAGGGTGGCAGGCCAGGAGAGACGCGTGTCGTGCGTTCACACGGGACTGCTCTGCCCCCTGGCGTGCTCCTTGGCCTTCCTGCAGGGAGGGCCGGCCTTCTTCTTGACCTCCCTCCCCGCTGAGGCCTCTCCAGGCTTGGAAGTCTTGGCGAAGAACTTCCTCACAGGACACTCCAAGGCTTTCATGGCCGGAATCACTGGGTCGTTGTAGTTTTTTTTTGGGCTGTCTGGCCATGTTCCAGAAGCATTCTCTCCTGACATTTCGCCTGCATCTGTGGCAGGCATCCTCAGAGGTTGTGAGGTGTGTTGGAAACTAGGAAAATTGGGTTTGAATGCCTGTGGAAAGTCCAAGGAGGGAGAAAGAACTCCTGACCACTATCACAAGTGAGGTTGGTGGGGACGAGGAGCAGGGCCTTCTCAGTGGTGGCCCCTCACCTGTGGAACTCACTCCCGGGGGAAATTAGGGCATCAACATCCCTCCTCTCCTTCAGGAGGAAAGTAAAGACGTGGTTGTGGGACCAGGCCTTTGGGCAATCTGACAACTAGGTAAGGACAAGCAGACGATTAGGACTGACAGGACTGACAAATTGGAATTGAAATCTGGACTATGAGATGGCGAACGCTGAGCATTCATTAGGTGGAATCGATTTTACTGGTTTTATTGGTTTTTATTGTTGAAACTGATTGTTAATTGTTTAATTGCTGCTATATTGTTTTTATCCTACTGTTTGTTGATGCCGAGATCGAATTGTGCCGGTTGTAAGCCGCCCTGAGTCCCCTCCGGGGTGAGAAGGGCAGGGTAGAAGTATGAGATGGACTATTTATAAATAAATAAATAAATTTATAAATAAATAAAGTGTTGGCTCTAGGTGTGAATGTGCAAGGACTTTAAGATCACCTGTAGAGGCCTTGCTCTCGGTCCCGCCATCATCACAAGTACGGTTGGCGGGGATGAGAGACAGGGCCTTTTCAGTGGTGGGCCCTCAACTATGGAACACCCTTCCTAGGGAGATTAGATCAGCTTCCTCACTCCTATCATTACTGAAGAATCTTAAGACATGGCTATTTGATACGGAGGAACGGATATAATAATGGAATGACTATATGGTGGAACTGGACATTGTTTTAACGATTATCGATTGAAGTTTGTTTCATTATAAAGTTTTGTTTTATTGTTGCTTATGTTTTTTATATTGTATATTGTAATTGTGTGGAAGGCTGAGAGGGGCGGTATAGAAATGTACTAAATAAATAAATAATGTTTCAATTGGCCTCCTTGATTGGCATTTGATGGCTTGACAGTTTTTAGGTGTGGCTTGTTACATCCTGAGTAGACTACTGCAGTGCACTCTACGTGGGGCTGCCTTTGAAGACTGCTCGGAAGCTTCAGTTAGTCCAACGGTCGCTCACTGGAGCGGCATACAGGGAACATACAACTCCTCTGTTACGCCAGCTCCACTGGTTCCGAGCACAATTCAAAGTGCTGGCTTTAAGCCTTAAAGCCCTAAGTGATTTTGGCCCAGACTACCTGTCCGAACATATCTCCTGTTACGAACCCTGCTCTCGATCCCACCTCCATTGCAAACGTGGTTGGTGGGGACGTGGGACAGTGCCTTCTCGGCAATGGCCCGCTGTCTGTTGAACTCTCTCCCCAGGGACATCGGATTGGACACTTCCCTCCTGTCCTTTAGAAGGACACTCCAGACTTGTCTTTGGGACCAGGTGTTCGTTTAATGGATAGCGGCAATTGGAAAGATACTGCGACATTGAATTAACCCAGACTAGATTTGGTTTTAAACTGGTGTGACTATCGTTTTAATGCTTTGTTTTTAATGTTTTAAAGTAATCGTTGGTTATTTATATGTTGGTTATTTATGTGTTGACAGGATCGTACAATGCGTACGTGAGGCCGCCCTGAGTCCCCCCTTGGGAGGAGAAGGGCGGGGTAAAAGTGTATAAAATAAATAGTTACTGCCTGGGGGAAACCTTTGTTGAGAAGTGATTAGCTGTCTTGTCTGGAGTTCCCCTGTGTTTGGGTGTCATTCTTTATTTACTATTATAATTGTAGAGTTTTTTTAATGCAGTGTTTCCCCACTTATTGCGAGGGTTCTGTTCCAGGACCACCCACAATAAGTGAAAATCTGCAAAGTAGGAACGCCATACTAATTTTAATATTTATACATTATTTTATATATAATTTTCTTACCTGCGCTTCCTTACCAACCTCCCAGGTCTGCAGGTTTCCCTCCTGGACTCAGCGCTGAACTTGGAGGTTCAGGTGTCAGAGGTGTATACTTGTATATTTTACGGTGTATAGATTTGTTTTCTGCTGCCCTTGAAACTAGGACTACGAGCGATGGGTTCAAATGACAGGAAAGGCGATTCCACCTGAACATGAGGAAGAGCTTCCTGAACATATGGGCTGTTCAGCAGTGGAACTCTCTACCTCAGATACTGGTGGCAGCTCCTTCCTTGGAGGCTTTTAAATAGAGGCTGGATGGCTGTCAGCTAGGGGTAGTGGATGGCCCACTTAGAGGTCTCTTCCAACTCTGGTATTTTATTAGTATTATTAAGCAGCTGCTGGATGGTCATCTGTCGGGAGGGATTTGATGGTATCTTCTTGCCTGTGTCTTGCAGTCTCTTCCAATTCTAGGATTCTCTTAGAGAAGACACCTTTCTTCAGCTTTTGAATGTGACCTATTATTATGATGTTTATTTATATTGCGCTTTTTCTCTCCATTCGGTAATTTAAAGCGGCTCAAATCTCAAAACATTTCATACAATCATAGAATAATAGAGTTGAAAGAGACTATATGGGCCATCCAGTCCAACCACATTTGGCCATGCAGGAAAAGAACAATCACAGTACCCCTAACTGACAGCCACCCGGCCTCTGTTTAACAAATAAAACAATCATAAAATACTATTAAAAACATTTGTATAAAATACAAAAATATAAAAACTGTACAAAGCCACAAAAACACTATTGTGTGCGTCTCCTTGTTAAAATCGTTATTCAATTGCATCGTCAGGTCATTCCGTGATTTCGTATAATTATGCTGGACTAGCAAAAGCCTGTTCAAAAGCCAGGTTTTAACCTTTCTTCGAAAAGTCAGGAGGGAGGGCACTGCTCTTATATCCCTGGGGAGGGCGTTCCACAGTCGAGGGGCCACTACTGAGAAGGCCCTGTCTCTCGTCCCCACCAAACGCATCTGTGAGGAAGGTGGGACCGAGAGCAGGGCCTCCCCAGAAGATCTTAGTGTCCTAATCCATTGTTGATGGATACCTTTCAATTTGTACAGCCTGAAGATGTGGACAGGGTCCTTGGAGAGGTAAGAGCTGCCACATATATTCTAGATCTTTGCCCTTCCTGGCTGATCAAACAGGTCAGAGGGGGACTGGCAGAGTGGGTGAAGGGGGTGGTCAATCCCTTTTTGGAACAAAACAAAGTTCCAGCTTTCTTAAAGGAGGCTGTTGTGAAACCTATATTAGAAAAGCCATCCCTGAAGCCCTCTATAATCGACAACTATCTGCCAGTGTCCAACCTCCCCTTTCTGAGCAAGGTCTTGGAGTATTTGGTGGCCTCCCAATTCTGGAGATTTCTGGATGAGATGGATTATTTACATCCATTTCAGTCTGGTTTCAGGTCCGGCTATGGAACAACTTTGGTCACCTTGATGGATGACCTACACAGAGGGCTAGACGGGAAGTGTGTCCGTCCCTCTTGGTTCTCCTGGACCTCTCAGCTGCTTTCAACAACATTGACTATGGTATCCTTCTGGGCCATTTCTTCGGGATGGGATTGGGAGGCATTGTTTTACAGTGGCTTTGTCCTTCCTGGAGGGCCGTTCCCTGAAGGTGGTGCTGGTGGACTCCTGTTTGAACCCTTGGCCATTATCCTGTGGGCTTCCTCCGGGTTCTGTTTGTCCTCCATGCTATTTAACATATACATGAAACCACTGGGAGAGATCATTCAG